TTCCTTCTGCCTTGGGCATATGTCGTCTCACTGCAAGAACTATGAAATGTTAGGTCTGAGAAACAAGAACCATACTGTAGAATATGTATTATGAACTTGAAATACATACCAATTTCTTGGAATCTATCATAAAGACAATAATTTATTACCTCATTATCCAAGGCTGTACTGTGGAAACATTACATATTATTTTATTTAGGTATTTGTTTATTTATTTATTTTTACCTCTACAACAATCTCACAAAGTAGGTACCTTTATTCCTACTTTAAAGATTAGGAAACAAGTTGCAAAAGATCAAGGTATGCGACTTGCAGTGCTACTTACTAAGAGACAAGCAGACTTGAGACTGGAAAACTATGAGCTACCTCCTACATGCTGTGAACAGAGCATGAGGGAGGTTTGCCTCATAAAGTGCTGCATGGTGACAGGTGGGTTGCTTAGGCCGCTCCTCTGCAGAGTGAGCCTTGAATAGCTGCTCATGGAGCCAACCCCAAAGCAATTAGAATATTTCATTCTGTAACATTCACGTATATTTAGCAATTTAATGCTACCTCTTATAAATGCTCTTCATTGGCACAGGAAAACTAGTATGACATGAAACCTGGTCTGTCCTTAGAGACTAAGTGAAAGTTCTTTAATTTAAAAAATAATGTATCAGTCTTTACTGCTAATGTGTTGATGAGAGAAAATTTAACAGCAAATAAATTAATTTAAAAATTCTTAGTTTTCTACATTATAATAGATTTGTTCTACTTAAACCTATATCAAAAATTTCCTGATAATGATGTTTTAATTGTTTAGAAAGTTAATATGCTTTAGCTTCTCTAATTCTAATCCACTAGAAATTAATGTTTAAAATATTTAATTTCACTGTTTGCTAATATGAAAATGGAATTTTATCATGGTCAGTAATGTCTGATCCTGGAACATAAAGACATTATTATTTTCTCATAGAATATTTTTAGTTAATTTTAAAATTACAAAATTTTACACCTTACTCTTGATTTTTAATATGGATTCAAAAATCATAGATTCATTGATTAGCACAGCATTTCTTTGTTTGATGATGCTAATTTTAATATTTCAGAAATGTACATTGTGTCGCACCACCATAAACTTAAATATACAGCACAAATGTACAGATGCAAGAATAAAATTATTACTTATGTAGTCATGCAAAATCGTATTTTCACATATATGTACAATTTAGTTTTTTGAGTTTAGAATAATTTTTGTTTGTGCTTTTTAATGGAAAACACATTTAAAACCCATAATTCTTAATTTATAAACTAATAACCAACCAGATAGAAACAATCTTTAAAATCTAGATGCTTGTCATTTCAAAACAAAAAACAAAAATGTTTAACTATAAAAATTTAGCTGTAGTCCATCATTTAGCCCCATGTCTGTGTTTTGAAGATGTGAAATGATGTTCTCATACTTATATGATGATTTGGTAGCAGAGTCAAAATAAAACTCCCAAATTCACTTCACTTTTGCTTTTCACTATTCTATTCTTGAATTTCTTAAACAGAACTATAAAATTTGTATCATTTTTATTACCTATCAAGAAGGAAAATTTTATTTAGCTATTAGCTACTAGCAAAGGAAGTGAGTACAATGCTATATACTAATATGCATCTAAGACAGCAAAGCAATGGCATTTACCTTAAATTTACGGCTCTGCTCTGCACAGCTGTTGAAGAACCACAAGTCTGTCTCATGGCTGTAAATGTAACAAGAACAATAATGCGACCAATTTTCATATCTAAACTAAATTAAGTATATTGTCATAGGCTAGGAAATTGATAATGTATTTTACAAAAATTTACAGATTTTGGAAGTGTGCATGTATGTATGCGGTTTTTGTATGTACTCTTTCTAACATGGAAATTAGTTTTAAAATTGAAAACATTCAGCATTCTCTGTAGCTAACTTTCCTCATGTCATGTCCAGGAAATGTTAGGAGTATAAACAAATAAAACAAATTGAAATAAAAACACATCATCTGCTGTTGATACTAGAGTATATTTTCTGAGTTGCACAGTAACACTAAAAGGACAAAACATGTGGTAATATTCAGGTTAACATCAGCTCCTTTCTGAACCTCAAACTGTATATACTCTTCACCAACATCTCTCTAATCAATGTACTTACTGTTGGACCTATTCAGCTGCTGTTTGACATAATAAAAAGAACATGTAAATATGTTTCAAATACATATATCCAAATAACTAAACGTGAAAGTCAAAGCTTGTCTGATTTGATATTTTTTCTTTCCAATTCGGATTGGATGTGCTAGTACCTATGCTGTCTCTAGAGTAAAATCCTCAAAAAGTAAATGAAGAAACGTCTATAAATTCGGATCTGTTAGAAATGGACTATGTCATGTCACACTTCAAATCTGGCCACCACTTTGTAACATTTAAAAGAAATTCAAAAGAGAGTTAACAAGCAACTACATATTGTTCTTGTGACTTGAGCCATTAAACAGTTTTTAAAAGCCTATATTCTTTGGAATCTTATAAAATAGCTCTCTATCAAATTAAATTTTAAAGTAAAAATATATAAATTACGTATTTTATCTTCTAAAAACATTACACTGTACCTGACATGGTAGAATCATCCCCGTCTATTGTCATCAAATATTTTGCCTAGCAAGGGCAGATTCTAAACTATCCTCAATCCTCTTTCAGAAATTTTTAAGATGATCTAGACCAGTGGTATTTTAAAAGTTTAGTTAAACTTTTAGTTATATAGACAAAAAACCTAGGCTGAGAAAATCATAAAAGACAACTTAAAATATGTGAATTTCATACTAAAGATTGAAGTTCTAGGTGAAATACTCTACTTCTTTAACACAAGGGGCAAATAGCACAACTGATGTTAGTTCATGTTATATAAATTGTAGTGTATATTTTGATGAATAAATAAGTCATTATTTTTAGATTTTCATACATAAAAACCAGCTTCACATTCTTATAGTATTATAGATTGAAATCTCATTAAAATTATAATTAATACAAAAATCCTACAGTTTTACAGTGTATACAATGGAAATATAGTCAGGGTAATATGCATCACAAAACACTATGTACAAATGATACAATGAAGTTCTTTGTAGTATGGAGAGCAACTACAATTGAAAGTAAGTATTTATAATGCTTCCAGTCATCCTTTAATGTTGAAATACCAAACTTGAGGACTTAGGCTCAATATTTATTTATATAGTAATTGGTACATGACAACTTTGTAAAATTTTAGAGCAATTAGTATCCCCGCATTAATGTTTTTAAGAAAAATTGTACATTAATTAAAGTATCAAATCCTGACTTCCAACACAACAACAATAAAAAGAAAATGAAAAATATAAAGCCCAGCCAGTATCTCTAGAGATAAGGTAACTAGAAATAAAGAAACTTCCCCTTAACTTTGGAGAGAAAACAAAAACAAAAAACTGAGAATTCTTCTATTTTGTCATAAAATATGCTAAAAATAGAATTAGGACAATAGTTATTCTTTGACATTTAAAACAACTTTTCTATCTATACCTAAGATGTCAGCATCCAACTCTCCTTTTATACACCAACAAGAAAGAAAAATAGCGTATCTCAAGCCATAATGAAGATCAGCATTTATCTGCTGTCTTGCCTAACTTTTACTATGTGAAGTTTTCTGTTATGTAAATGCGTAGAAAGGCTCTTGGAATGGGTAACTTCAAAAATACCACAGTCACCACTTTAAGTTGGTGAGTGATGTGGTGGTGAGGAAAGTGGCATCACAGATTTACTGATTAGATTAAATAAAAGAATATGGGATTTATCTTGAAAGAGAAGAATGTTAAAAAGAATTTTAGATTCAAGCACATTCAAGAATATTTCATTTGCGATCAGGGCAGGCATCTTTATTTTAGAGTGATGAAACATCTGTACTCAAGTGCCATTTCTTACCACCCACTCCCAACAAATAATTTTTCCCAAGAAAAATACACTTTTGTCTGAAATTTAATTAACCATAATTTAATCCAGATTTTAGGTAATGAGTAACTTCTGGATTATATGACTGAGTAGCCCTATAAATCTTTGTCATATAAACTAAACTCCAGAATGTATTGTGTAAGACTCAGTTATTAACACCTATGAGTGCACCTAAAATGAAAACCGATAGGTAAGTCATTAAAAAAAAAAAAAAAAGATCGCCTTAGTAAAATAAAGCAACAAAAGATTACCTAAACAAACCACTAAGTTTGCCTTATCTGACATGAATGTAACATAATCCAAGAAAAAAGCATTGCTTATCTTTCAGCAAAGCTGAGGAGCACTGTAAGAGACATTTCAGGCACTCCGGGGTCTTTCTTCCAAACATTTTAAACACACACCTTAAAAATGCCCCCAACACAGCAGCTCATATATTTTCGTTAAGAAGACTATAATACAATGGTTATATTACGTTAAAAAATTAGTTTTAAAGACATACATATTATCAGTTTCACAGGACAAATTTAGTGACCAAGGACAACAAATCCAGAAAGTGTTTTTACAACTTAGCAACAATAATAACTCTTAGGGAAACTCAACAGTTTTTTTGGCAAATGTGGAAGTTTTCTGCATTTGTCACTTGGATACACCTGCAGATGGCTTGTCTAAAATCACTTTGTTTCCTTCCACAACATTATACTGAACGTTTGCATTTTATCTGTGTATGAGAAAATCTCATTAAAATCCTACAAGGGAATTTTATGGGAAATTATTTAACTTACGTGTACCAATGTATATGCTATGTATTTCCTTCCTACATAATTTTTGCAAAGAATAGCCTTGAAAACTTTTAAAATGTTTTTCTCTTTTCTAAGGATATAGGATGAATTTTCTCTGGAATTAAAATGACCTGTAGAGTAACTGTAATAATTCTAGGTGTATTTATAACTGTGTTTGCACATCTGTTGTTATTATGAGCATCTTTTAAAATAAAATTCCAAGGACAAAAGTCCTTTACTAACCTGTAGTGGTCTCTGTTTGTCACTGCTTTTAGGAGATTTCAGTCCACTTGTTTGCTGCTGTAAAAGAAGTTGTCTTGCTGCCTGTAGAGCCTAGAAATAAAAAGGGATAATATTTGAATATTTTGTGGAAATTTAAATTATCAGTTATCTCAGTTAATATTTACAAGGACCTTAATTTCTCTTTTTATTTGTTATTCCCTTTTCTTTTAATCACAGAAAAATTTACAAAAATACATTTATACAACTTTATTCAAAATCATAGATATATGTAATCCTGCAGGAAAGAAATTTAATTTGTTTAATGTGTGTAAAGAAGAAAAAATCATAAACTGCACCAATAATCTCTTTCCCACAAGGAACTTATCTTTGCAGTGTTCAACTGAAATTCCCACTCCCTTTCAAATTATCATTCAATTTGCATTTTCATATTACAATTTTGAAGCAAAAGCAGTAGACTTCAAGTGTTACCGGAAGCTGTAATTAAATTTGACAAATCAACATCAGATTATCTTGAAAGTGAATTAATAAGGATTTTCACTAAAGATTAAAAACATTTTTTGTACTTACAATTCAAGGGGAAACCTCTCCTTTGACAAAATAAAGTGCAGTTTTAATGCCAAATAAAATTGAGTGGTTTTCATTTGCATTCTTAGCAAAATCAGAGAACAAAGAAATTACCACTCAACCAATCAGGTTTGTTTCTATGTGTGACAGAATACCAATCAAAATAGAAGAAGTTTTCATTTATTTTTATGTTTCCTTTCCAACTTGGGAAAATAAAACTTAATATAATAAACTAATACAAGCATTTCACTTAGGAGGAGGGACAGTTTGGTAAATATGTTATATGAAGTTACCTTATAACAACTAGTGCCATAACACAAAATGCACTGTCAATTGTTTTAGAGGTTGCAATATAAACTAATATTTAAGAAAAACTTTGAAGCTTCTATTTAAAATTATATTTTGTCTTAACAACTGATTCTATGAACATGGGCGATGAAGTCTTTCAACACATAAAACTCAAATACCTTATTTTGTTACTCATTATTTTAGAATACAAGATAAATTTTTCCATACTTGGAAAAATCTTGTTAGGTCAATATTCTTCTATAATAATTAAGATTCTCAGCTGACAAAAAGTCCAGTTTCTATTTGAATCAATGATCTGGTTTTTAGGAGAGTTTCTAGTATCCATGACAACAGTTGCTTTGACAAGATGTGCATATGGCATTACACTGCCAGCTGGTGTGAACAATGTTTGAACTACTGCATTGAGATGCTGAGCAAACAGAAAAAGTTGCCACGTCTTAACCCTCGGGGAAAGCAGTCATCCCCTGATCAATTATGAAAAGACAGAGAGGGCTGCTACAGTCTGGCTCCAAGCAAGTTTTCTGAGAAGGCAGGCAGACATAGAAACCAAAGTAAACAAACTGAATGCACTGCGCCATTCCCTAACAACATTGATTTGTCTTCCCATAGCAGGATCTGGCAGTTTGTAAAGTACACTTTTTCCATTTGGAGACACACTCACTCACAACCATTTACCTTTTGTTTTTTAAACCTCTCAAGTAATTACAAGTTAAACTATTTCTGAAGGTGGCACATGCCAGTGAACTCAGGCAATTTATAACCAAGTTCAATTTGGAGGAAAACAGAAAGCATAAATTTGGTAGTTATTTTATTGTCATAAAACATGCTGAAAATTTCACTTAACATCCTAAGTGATTAATGCTTTCCTTAACTGCAACTTTTAAAATAATGGTGATATTTTTCAAATGGAAATTACTAGGGAGTAACCTATGCTGTGTCAATATAAAACAAAAAATCAGCAAATTGTTTTCCCTGTAGATGCCAAAATCCATGTGGTTATTTTTTTAAACTTGCTTTCTCCTTTTGAGTTCATAGTTTATTTTGCATATATAAATATATTACCTATAAATTATATATATATATATATATATATATATATATATAAATTGTATGTCTACATATGAATATCTACATATGTAAATCTATATATGCAAATGTCTATCTATCTATCTGGTTTTATTCTTACTGTACACTGTAGTCATATATTTTGGGAAAGCATTTTAAAGGACACATTTGAAATCTTAGAAATCATTTAATCTGACCTCATTTAAACAAGCGGGAAAAATGAGGACTAACAATCAGTTGCTTTGTTCAAGGTCACAAAGTAATTTATGAGTTCTTTGTTCAAGGTCTCCCGGGTTCCAGGCCTGAGTGCATTCCAGTGCACCATACTTTCTCTACTCCATGTAAAGAATCTTTAGAGATCATAATGAGCAAATGTCCAGAAGAGGGTAACATGTGACACCATAATAAATTATTTCTTTACCTGTAAAGAGAACATACCCATTTTACAGGATTTAAAAGGAAGATAACATAATTTTTGTATAAATTGAGTTTGTAAGTAAATTTAACAACTGCCACTATAAATATGTATATGTTTCTTCTATGATTTAATGTCCACATCATCTTTATCCCGACTTTCATTACATATTCTACCAATACATAAGATTCCCTTTAGCTCTTCTAAATCTTGCTCTTCTGATAAATTATCACTAACAGAATTTTAAAAATTCTGGATCTGTAATCCCTTAGAAGTTGTTTATACTAGCTTTCTTGTTTTGCAGACAAGTAATGAATACTAAAATAACTTGATTAAAATGACAAAGCAAAAGCAAAAAAAAAAAAAAATTGAAAGTTCAGGTTTCTGTCTGCCTCTATTAGGACTGTGTTCCTTTCCTTTTACCCTAATGTCATATCCTTTCACCTCAAGTAATCCAGGGCTGACTGCTTTAGAAATACACTGGAATATATACTTACAAAAAAACCCCCACAAAATACCGAAACATACACCTACAGTATATAAAAAGTACTACTAATAATGGAACATCTCAAGATATCTGGTTGAAGCCTGTTTCTACTTTCCAAGTATTTAAGTTTTTACATGTTATTATATTACATATAATAATAATATAATTATTATTATATTTGTTTTAGTGGAATAATACATTGGTTTTATTGATGTCATACATACACAAATATACTACCCCTCCCTCCCTCTCCTTTTCCTTTTTTTCCTTCGTTCCTTCTTTCTTTCCTTCGTTCCTTTTCTTTCTTTCCTTAATCATGTGTGTTTACAGTATAAAATAGTGATATTTATTTAGGGAATGCTACATGCATCTAACATATTTTGATCATTTTCATCATGGTAAGCAAATTAAATCAAACACAGAAAGTTACATTTGCTTGGTCTCTCCTATATGAGAAGGCTAGGATATAAATAGGTGAGTAAAATAAAGAAGAGGTAATAGGAAACTGGAGGACGGACACCTAGCATTTTACAATTATCTTTAAAATATTTGAAAATCACGGTCCTATATTCACATTTATGGAAAATAACTATTTGGTAATAGTTGGGATTGCTATAGTATATCAAAGAGGCAGATGGAAAAAACATTGTAAAGGATAAGAATTATGTAAAACTCATAAGCAAAAATCTTTGGGAGTTTGTATTCTAACTGCATGCTTTAGATGACATTTTAATTTCTGTTCTACTGGTTAACACATTTGGGCTTAAATTCAATAAACAACTATTCAGAGATGTTTAGTTTATCTAGGGAATTTATTATTGTATCTACTCAAAAATGAAAAAACTTCTGATAAAATGTTTTTGTCCCTATAAACCAGTATCAAATTACAGAAAATATTAATTTGAAAATTACTCGCTGTTTCTACTGATAAATAGAAAGATAAATTTAAACACCATTTATAAATTCTATGTATTGTTATTATGTTTGTATCATTATCCTTCATATCAACCTAATTTAGGACAAAAGGCAAAAGTTATTTTCAAAAACTTCTATAATGACTGAGCCTAATTTAATCCAATGATAAGAAAGAAAATTTTAAGGCAATAAAACTGCATTCAGTTTCCAAAAATACATTGGTTTTGCATTATGGAGGAATGCTACTTAAAGCTGTTATCTGGTCTTGGTAATGCTAAAGAATGCTAAGATAAGATAGTTTCATAATTTTCTTACATTTTTATATGTTCTTAGGCCTATTGGTCTGAATTTCATTCTTCATATATAATTTCACTTCATAGGGTTTTATAAGATAAATATCTATAAATGAATCTGATGATGGAAAAATAAAAGTGAGTAGAGGAGAGAGAAGGAGAGAATTGAAATGTGCTAACTATACGCCCCAATCCTTTACAGTGAATGTACTCATCATGTGCTACTAACATGTACTAATAAAAGTAAGAGAGAGAGAGAGAGACAGAGAGAGAGAGAGAGAGAGAAAAAACAGACTAAAGATATAAATAACTTAGTAGCACAAGTGTGAGAATCTACATTTTCCAGGACTCAATATATTTTCTTAAAAAAATAGATTGAAAGCATCTCTAACAGTGTATTTGTGACTAAAACAAACTTTTGTTAAAAAATCCAATTTCAACTATATCACTCTTTTGAAGTAATATTAATGTTATGCTAGTGAGAAGCTTCACAAAAAAGTAATTCTACTCAGAAGATCATTGTGGGAATCAATCTTTACAACCTGTTAGTCTCTTTCTTTCTGTTTTTCTTAATTCTGGGAAACACTAAAAACTTTCACTAATAATAAAAGTATTTAAGAATAGTTTAGAAATACCCAGTAAAACAAAAAATGTTGAATATGCTATGGTTTATAACTTAATTTTTTTCAAAGTAAATATATGTATATTTGGGGAAAAAACAGACATCACTCATATCTTTCCCCATAAAAACAGGAATGCTTAACCTATCAGCCTGTTGCATTTGAGACATTAAAATGAAAAATGACATCTACGCCCATTAATATCTTCAATGTATAAACAGCACAGCGTGACACATTCTTGAGAGCTGAAGGCTACAAAATCTCTCTAAAACATAAATAACAAAGCACTCAGAAGCATATTTGATGTTGATATTCATCTCTGAGAAAAACACTGCTGCCTAGGCTTCTTATGAAAATAGATGCAGCCCAAATGGATCTCCTGTAATTGGTTTCAGATAGCGAGGTCAGGAGAAATATGATAC